TAATCACAAACTCCCGGAGTCTCTATATGGATCATCTTGTCTTACCAGAACACTGGTTTTCAGTCTACAGTTACAAAAAGAGCAACAAAAGAGAAAAAACGCAAATTCTCACATTTAGAAAACTGCAGCCAGCAAATGTTCAGTGTTTTACCAGCCAGCTTAAACAGTTAATTGGTTATTAAAATAGTTGTTGAATAGTTTTCTGTCTGCACAGCTTTGTTTGGGCTCATCACTCTGTTCTTTTCTCCCACCAGAGCTCTCATACGATGGTGAAGCAGATCACAGTGGAGGAACTCTTTGGCTCGTCTCTTCCCAAGGACCCCTCTCTACCCTCCATGCCCCCACAGAATGTCGCCTCCTCCCATGAACCCTCCAATGCCTACATCCAGAAACAGCCGTATCCCGCTCCAGGCCACCCAGGCTCACTCCTCCCTCCACAACTTGCAGCCCAAGACCCCGGGTCCAACCAGCGGCACCAAGCCCCTGGCCTCCTCCCAGCTCCTTACGCGCTACACCCCAGTCCTGTTTTCCAGTCAGTGGTCCCCCGGTCAGACCCCCAGCCTCACTGCTCAGTCTCCCCTCTCATGGTGCCTCCAGCAGGCACGGAGCATCGTGGCGCTCCCCCTGGTCCCACGGCACCTCCACCAGCTCCTACAGCCTATTTGGGACAGGAGATACTCAGCACGCTCAAGGCGGCAGTGCCGTCTGTAAATTCAGACATTCACAAACCCATCCTCGCACCCAACTTCCTGCCCAGCACGCTGGTTCCGCCCTACAGCTTCCAAGAGCCCATGGGGAAACCTCTTCTCCAGCACGGCAAAGAGATGGATGTTTTCGCGCAGCCCCCAAACCTGATTAAACCAATGTCTGTGAGTTCTGCTGTTTATTTATCTGTTTGCTGTCTTTCTCATGTTCAGTGCCTTGATTCTCACATATACTCCTTTACCACTGTTTATTAGATTGTAAAGTTCTTGTGTCATGTCTTCACCTTTTGTTTCTTGTTTCTGTTCTTTCTATTTTCAGGCAGTGCCCATGAGTCCAGGTCTTGCTGTTCCAGGGTCAGGGATTTCGGTGCTTCTCTCCCCCAGTGCCTTCCAGCAGGCTATCAATAAGACAACAGCGGCTGCATCGGTAGTTCCTCCCGCCCCCTCTGAGCCCTCCTCCGCCTCTGGAGGAGCTCCAGAGCCTCCACCAGCCCCCTGCAGCAAAACCCAGCTACAGGAAACTCTGATACATCTCATTAAGGTAAACCAAGGGCGTAAAACACACAAAAGTATATGTTGGCATGTGTTGACATGGGAGAAGTCAAAGCTGTTTACCATGATATTATAATTTGATGTCAAACTTCAAAGGTTGGAGTTAAAAGGCTTTTCAAAAATGTCACTGGTTTTGGTTTAATTCATCAGGTTTGGAGACTGTGCCCTTCAGAGTCTTGTTTGTGGCGCTTACAGCATCGGCAAAATACATTAAAATGATTTAACATCTGTCAGGACGAACACTCAGGATTATCTGTAGACACATTCTCCAGCTGATTAATGTATGTGTCTAATTACAGTGGCAGAATGACTGAGGGCATCTGCTGACACTAAACGCAGAGATGTTTGGGTTAATCATGGTCAGAATCCACTGCTACCTATTAACATAAAAAAAAGAACTTCCCACAACTCATGATTTCTTTCAGTGATGTCAGATGAAACGGACATTTATTTGAAGTCTGATTTGCACATTACGCAGAGTTTTGCTACCACAGTTAGAAGCTGTCCCTGGTTGGTTCATTGCCAGCACGCTGCACAGAATGTAAACACGATGATTTAATGGAGATGGATTAAACTAATCCAACGTCACAGAGGTTTGCAGATTTTTGGTGTGGTTTTGTTGAGTTGCAGAGATTTTGTGGCAAAAAATGCTTAGTATAGTACAATTCTGTGGCAGTTCAACCCCGTGAACCCCGAGTAGTTTCTGGGTATGTTTGCTTACATTTTTACTCACCGTGTGCTCGTTTTTCACAGCAATATAAAGTCCAGCATCTCTATGGAAACAGCACAACTGGCTAGAGAGAAATCAAAAGGTGTTTTTTGTGCTGTATGATAAAGTCATGAAAAAAAAAAAAAAAGATTTTCTTTCATTATTTATTTTCCAAAAATCACATAATCATTTTCCAAATGCCCACAGATGTCACTAGCACTGGAAAAAATCTAGTTACTTGATATACTCTGGATATTCCACCACTCATGTTTTTAATTGGTTTCGGTCCATATTGCCCTATTTCCCTAAATCCCTGAATTTTTGCCACAGGACAGTCGGTTGGCGCTGAGTCACTTCGTGGTTACACAGAGGAGCGCAAATGTATTCATTTTCTTTTATTACATAATCTGGTGAGAGCAAACTGTTTATTTTAAGGGAATTCAACTGTAGAATAAATAGATTTTGTTAAAATATCACAATTTTAAGCTTGGATTCGGTGAAGTTTCTGGCAGAACACTGCGTCACAGATGAGTAGTGAGAACTGTCAGAGGGATGGAAGTCCAACGATTCTTCTTGGACTGTTTTTCTCTCTGGTAAATGGTCTAATTTTTCCAATTTTTAGAAATAAATAATGTGCCTTTTCAAGCCTGACCACATGTTTTGGAGTTCAGAGGATTAAAATGGCAGCTTGTTTAGGTTCAGTTTCAACCAGTTTGTCCAGGATTATCTGGGAACAATTGCTGTATGTTTCTGAAGTGAGTTTAAATTGTATTGAAACATCTGTCATCCTATTTGCACAAACACACATGTTGTAAACCGTTCTCGTTTCTGTCGTCCTTGTCTAGCATGACGCGGACTTCCTCAGTGCCATTCATGACGCTTACCTGCAGACTCTATCCAAGGACTTCAGCAACATGAAGCTATAGTCCTGCCTCACTCGTCACCACTGTTTCTTTCAGTGCTACAACCTCTTTATGACCACTGAAGAGACCAGAGGATGAGTTTAAAGGAGTGCGGCGAACAGGTTTCGACACACTGGTACACCACATCTGTCCAAAACACATCTGTGTGCTAAGGATCATTACAGCATGCACCGCACCATTTAACCCCCCCTGTTTCTGGCTACTCGTGTTATCCTGGATCAACTTATCGTCTGCTTATGTCAAATAGAACTACTGTGGGAAAGGAGGGGGAGATCAGATTTCCCAGTATGGCCTTGAGTTTTCTTTTTAAACTTTCTAAATATGGTTAAACTGCTGGACGTTTATCGGTAAAATGTCATTCTCTGGAGGATGGGACCACAGTGACGCTTTTGGGGGGACCTCACATCCCCTTTGACCCAGGGACAGACAATTTTGCAGCTTGGACATAATGAGAATCAAAGATGCTGCCTCTCATCACACGTCTGTGGAGTTCTCTCAGTCCAAATCGGGAAATGTAGTAACACACTTGTACTCCGACTGCTCATTAAGACAAAGACCTCAGTGTTTGGGATCTTAAATGTGTCGAGTGTCTTTGGGGACCAACTGTCCCGCTGTGTGACGATAAAAAGAGCATCTCAGTTTGCTTTTTTTTCACTCACTGAACTCAGAAAACTGAAGCCTGTTTTTTCTTTTTCTTTTTAAAGCCACAGAGACACTGAACAGCTGGTACAGTTTTTTTTTTTTGGCATTTTTTGTTTGGCAGGAGTTTTATTTTTCAGATTTTGTCCAAGAAAGGTAACTTCTGTAACTGTTTGGAGAAGCACTTGCAGCTACGAACTCAAACTAGAACTCAGTCCCTCTTTGCTGTTTTTTTTTTTCTTTTCTTTTTTTGTGTGTGTTTATTTTTTTAATTGTTACGGACTGTGAGATGTTTAGAATGACTCACAAATGCACAAACCAGCTTCGTTGCTACGCTACCTATATCGCCCTGTCTTTTCTTTGTCCTTCTCCCGTGTGCATCTTCATCTCTCCTCCACCAGCTGAGCTCAGAATACTTGATGTTCTCGGAGGGGGAATGTGCAATAGACGAGAGTCACAAAGCCATTAGGGATACCAGCATTTTGGGATATTTTAGGATGGTACCACAGAGCTAACTTCATGCCAACCTCTGGGTTCTGCAGTCGATCTATAATTTGAATATGAGAAAATGCGATTGTGGGTTGTTTACATTCAGCCCTATTATTATTATCAGTAAAATGCTTAAAAACTGGTGGAGCTGATGTGCTGTTGACAGCTTCACTCTGCTCCAGAACCAGCTGAGTTTATTCAAACTAATCACTAATCAACCAACTTAAATTGGGTTTTTACTTGCAGTAAAAGGCTACTGCAGCACATAACCGTAAACTCTGCAGATGGCAGCAGAAGCAGGAAGAAGCACGTCAGTCTCGTCATCATGTGAAACGCTGAGCGGCTGCTGATGTTTGTGAACGAAGAAAACTGATCCAATGTACAGAAAAACACAAAAATCAACTTTCATAGACTTAATGTTTTCTTTTTTTTTTTTAAACACACAGACAGATTCTCCTGTCACGTCAAGACCAATAAAACTGTCTAAAAATTTATATAAAAGAATGAAAATTTGAAGGTTTTTCCAACAAATGTGACCATGAAGTTCAGGCTCATTAATCCAATTACCTTAAAGGATCAATATACAGCCATTCAAAGATGAAAATTATGGATTTTTCTTTTTAAGTTTTGTAAACCGCATAAAGGGCAAAGATTGTGTTCTTCAAAATTTTTTTTATTTCAATGCAAAAGCTCTTTTTAAAAAAAAAAAAAAACCTGACAGAATGAGTGACATGAATTTCTGCATCAATCCTTGATTGTGACACCATGACTTTGTACTCGGTCCTGCTATTTGAATGTATTTGATGTTTACTCGCAGTCGTCTTTTTCTGCCAGCATAACTTCACATCAACATGCCTTCAGTCCTGTTCACCTTTTATTTTTCTTCCCCCAAAATTAAAATTTAGAATGTAAAACTGATCCTGCTGGCAGCCAGGAAGCAAACCAGACTATCTGTTCACTTTATCGCCATGTACTAATCCATCGTTTCATGAGTGGTCCTGCCAACACGTCTGTCGTGTGTTGCGTGAATAAAGAAGGATTGAAATGTAGAGATTGTTTTTAATCCCAGTCCCGTATTTAAGACTTTAAGATTATTTTACACTTTCGGCATAATTTATCTTATTGGCCAAGAGATATGATTTTGGGAAAACTCTTTGCAAATTATGTTAATTTTCTAAGATTGTTTGTCACTGTGCTTAATTTGGTTTATTATGAATATTTTGTTATATTAAAGATTTGAAAATAGAGCTGTCTGTTTCTGTGTTGCTGCTTGAAGGAATCGTTTTTGTCCTCCGTGGAAATACGATTCATAAATGTGATTTTTACCGCAAGTTTCTAATTGTACGTATATATGATTTCAGTGTGAATGTATTTGCAATGTGTCTTGTTTGTTGCATTTTTGTGTTTTTGTTACAGAGAAGGGCTGCAAGGTGACTCAGTGGTTAGCACTGTTGCCTCACAGCAAGAAGGTCGCCGGTTCGCGTCCCAGTGAGGACACCTGGGATCTTTCTGCGTGGAGTTTGCATGTTCTCCCAGTGCAGCGTGGGTTCTCTCCGGGTTCTCCGGCTTCCTCCCACACAGTCCAAACATGTTGAGGTTAATTGGTGATTCTAAATTGTCTGTAGGTGTGAATGTGAGTGTGCTTGGTTGTCTGTCTCTAAGTGTAGCCCTGTGATAGACTGGTTACCTGTCCAGGGTGTCTCCTGCCTTCACCCTGAGTCAGCTGGGATAGACTCCAGCCCCCATGACCCTAGTGAGGATTAAGTGGTGTATAGATAATGGATGGATGGATGGAATTGGTGCATTTTGTCAGTCCGACCACCAGATGGCAGTAGCTGCTTGCTGGTAACCAATAGTATCCTGTAGTTCATGGTCGCACCGATGCCAAGAAATAAACTGTAATTAGTTAGAATCAAGCCCATGACTGGGTTCATATCCTCGGAGAACTTGGTTCTGGGTTTTAGTGACAAAACGAATGTGTTTCTCCTTCTCAGTGGGTAAATACTGATGAACTACTACAGACTGACCAGCAGAATACTATGAGTTCCCCTCATCAGGTCCCCTGCTGGCCACATGTGGCAGCTTGTATTTGGGTTTCTTAAGATCACAAGACAGGTCAATCTGCTTAATTAACACTCACATCACTGTGTCAAAACTAAATCAAACTCCACAGTAAATGGCTTTTTAATTAGAGAGAAGGAGTCTGTCCACTAATTGAGTGGTGTCAGTCGTTACCTACACGCAGTGCAAGTGCACATTGCAGGTGTAACTGGTTTACCCCACCGTTAATCAGGTCAGCCTCAGGAGGAAATGCCATTAAGGTGAGATTACTGTCATTTGTGATCGCTGTTTTTGCATGTCACCATCCACTCTTATTGTAGATGCTCCAGCTTGAAGAACAGGCGCATTTTGAAGCGAAGCAGCCAGTTATACTGAAGTTGTGTTAATCCTTACCTCAGTATACTTGCCAGCAGTATGAAAGCCTTACTGTAGCTCACTTATTTAATGTCATACTTTATAAGCTCTGCATTTCTTACAGTGTGGCATTTAGTTTTTTTTCTAAGCAGCATCTGGAACAAGAGTTTCCTCCACGTTTAATAAAGTTTACTACTTATGTTGCTCTCATGACATTCTTTTCTCCTGAAACATATTCGTACCAATACTGTCGCAGCATCATGTTGACTGTAGTTGTTTCTTAAATGGTGTATGAGCCTCAAGTTCAGAGCCTCACAAACCACTTCATATAAATACACCTGTGTTCAAATGCCAAGTGCATTAGTAAGTTTTTGGCCTCACCTGCGAACAAGAGGCCATTTTGTAGTCTAACTGAATACAATAAAGCCTTACATGACTGTCCCCAAACACTCAGGTGTCTGTTGTTGTTTCTTTGTAAGGAGGGCAAAGCTTCCAGCTGGTTGTTGTTGCTCCACAACAATGCGTCCATCTGCTTTTACCACCTGTGCTGGTGGACGCACTCCCTGTCCTGCCCACTCCAAGCTTTCATCTTTTTTTTTTCTTTCATTGAATCAAACAGTTTTTTTTGTGGATGGTGATATTAACCTTTATAGTAAATGGTTTTAAACTAAAATGGGATGTACGCATCTTGTTTCCAAGTGAGGCCGAGAACTTTTTGAAGTAGTTTCCCCTCCATGCTGCCACATGCTGCAGCTACAAGAGAAGTGCATTAGTGTCAAGTGAGAGCCTATTTATAGGCAGTTTTATATGCATTTGTTGTAGTCTGTGTAGTTGCATGAGGTAAGAATATAACATTCAATAATAAGCCAACAAAATGTAGAAGAAATAAGCCTCACGTTTTGGTTTCATATTATTTGGAAAAGTTTTGGCTAAAAAATTCTCCTAAAATTGTTACTAATTTACATGCATTTGTTTGATTAGTTTTATTTGTACTCCTTGATTCCTGGATACAGTTTGAAGCCTTTAATGCTGAACCAGACCACAGTGTGCGTGACTGCATGTGAGCGTGCACCTGCGCATGACCGTGTGGCCTTGGGCTCAGTCCAAAGCGCCTCCCCGCTATTGGCTGAGCTCATGCGACAGTTTGGACTAACTGTAGGCTGCTTTTAGCCCGAGATTAGCCATATTCATAGGCTTTGCTGGCAAACACGCCCCCTCCCTGCTCTCTCTCTCTCTCCCCCCTCCTCTAACTCCCCCTTTCTCTCTCGGTGTGTCTCTCATGTGCAGCGGCTCTGTCTCTTTTTAACCCCTGCCATCGTCCGCTGCGCACCCATCGCCTTTATTCTCTGGACAGCAGACCGGGGACTCCTTTTTTTTTAACTCTTCACTCCATTTAACCGGCTCGTGTGTGCGTGTGCGTGCTTCTCTTCGGTGCATCGTCCAGATGGAGGACTACCACAAACCGGACCAGCAGACGGTGCAGGCGCTCAGGAACATCGCCACCCGACTCCGGATCAACTCCATCAAGGCGACAACTGCAGCGGGCAGCGGGTAAGATGAAGTGTGGGCGGAGGGATTAAACCCAAATTGAGATTTAAATGACACAAGAAATCGAGGTCACCTTCCTGGGCCGATTAGTATGTCTCATGCACATTTTTTTTGTTCTGGGGGATGATTTATAAAAGTCGAGCAGAAATGCGTAATGGAAGCGCATGACTATTTCCCAAAGGACTTAGTGTCCCCAGCAGACAGTACGCAGGAGGACCAGCTGTGTAATGCTGTGGATGGGTTTATTATGTTGCTGATGCAGAATACCAGAAGCTGGTGCTGTGTATGACGTCCCTAAACTTATTTTTAATCTGTGCGTAAAGATCGTCAAGTGCGCGACTGACGCACATGACCCAAAAGGAGAGTTTTCATTTATAAAAGGTCACAGTTCGTCATTTTCACATTTGCATTGCAGGTATTTATTTCATGTTAAGTTCCTCAGAGAAATGTAAATTATATTTCCTTTAATTATACGTTTGCATTGCAGCGCCGTTCCGCCAAAATATCTTTAAAATCCGCGTTCATTTGGAGCCTTGTTCGTCGGTTATAAATTGCTGCAGGTGCACCGCTGTTCCGCTCTCCGCTAACTCCTTGCGCACTCTGTGATCCGTTATGTAACGGAGGAGCAGAGACCGGATAGTTGCATGATCCGGTGCAGCCAGTAGTACTCCGTGGTGTGTGGCGGGCAGCAACCGGTGAACGCACGGACGCGCCTCTCCCGCGCCTGCGTGTCCTGGAGCAGCAACGGCGTCAAGTAGCTGGAGTTAAACGGTAGAAACACGTCCGGTGTGTGACCGCAAAGTAAAACCGGAATGGATAAACGCGCTGCAGGGAGGGATGTACATTAAAACGAGAGTAACGACATATTTGACTGTAATCTCTTAACAATGTGCTGTAATGTTTTTGTTTTTTTACATATCAGTTATTTTTATTGTCTCCAGTGACTCATTATGAGGTTGTATGTCATCATCCTCTTTTTCTCTGTGAGGTGCAGAGAGTCAGAGTTCACTGCTTAATTCATCATTTATTTGGCCTTCAGCCTAAAGTGCCTCTGTAGCTGCTTCCAAGTCATTAAAAATGAATTCCAGTTTGAGCTTAAAAACATACAAAAAACATTTTAAAGAGGGAAGGCCATCCTCCTCATCAACACTCACCTCTCATCTTCTCATAGGGAATCACACATCAATTTTTTTTCATTTTATTTTATTTTATTTTATTCATCTACTGTTTGTGATTTTCTGATCACATCTTTTATTTCAGGACAGAGACAAACGCCTTCATGCAGGAGGCCTGAGTGAGGTATTCTTGGCATGTTGTGTGAAAATCAAGACAAGAATAACCAGCAAGAAATAAAAACTCACAGCTTATTTTGTTTTAAATAGTCATAACAATTTGATCAACAGACTGATGATTTTTTTTGTGCTGTATGTGTGTGAGTGCATGAGGGACCGTGAGAGAACGACATCCTCCAAATGCATTTACACTTCATGATATGTGTGGTTACATATGTGCTCACTGATGGTCTCACCCTGATGAAGTCCGTATGACTACCATGTTTTCTGCCTTATGTAACTCTGACTGCAGATGGTTTGGCATGAATTAACCCACCAGATCAAAGTTGACAAGGTCGGACAGACAGACTCAATTTTTAATTGCTGCTCGTCTTTTCTTTTTTTTCCTTCTTCCTTCTCTCTGTGTCTGTGTATGCATTGTAAGCTCTGAACATGCGTTATGGATATGAACTCAGGCGGCTGTTTCTAATTCCTCTCTTGCAATCATTCTGTTGCAGTCATCCCACATCATGTTGCAGCGTGGCAGAGATCATGTCTGTGCTGTTCTTTCATTCCATGAAGTACCGACCTGAAGACCCTCGTAACCCCAACAATGACCGATTCATCCTCTCCAAGGTAACACATCTACATGTCTAGTGTAACCAGTGTCCACATAACGAGTTTATGTGAGGATTTTATTCCTATGTCGCTGCTCAGTTATCTGATAAATGAGCTCAAAACATTATTTTAAGTCGCTCAAACACCTGTAAGCAGACAAATAGCTGATAGTAACGAGCAGTATGCTGCACTAGCAAACCGTGAACACAATCTGTGCTTTGTGCTGTAATTACACAACTTTAACAGCAATGGTTAAACTCTAACCTTTGACTTCTGCCTCCTCAGGGTCATGCAGCTCCGGTGCTGTACGCTGTGTGGGCAGAGACGGGCTACCTGAAGGAGAGCGAGCTTCTCAACCTCCGCAAGGTGGACTCCATCCTGGAGGGACACCCTGTGCCGGTGAGATGACATTCAGACCTGCAGGAAGTTCTGGGTCTAAAATCACACCATGTATTCCAATAAAACTACATGTATGAATCGGGAATACATTAAAATATTCAACCTGCATTTTGGTGTTTTTTTGATGCAAGAAGTTTGGCTAATTTTCATTTGTGACAAATCCACAATACAGCAATTCCCAGATCTTTAACCACCGAGAGATTTTTTTGAGTAGCTGTGACCCTAAGCTGTTACACAAAGATCATATTTCAGCGTTTTGTGCTCGAAGCTAAGTTTGACTTTGCTCCTGAACTCTTACTTTGTGTAGCCGTCGGTCTCGTTCTGCTGGCTTGCAGCTTGCATGTGCTTGGGGCAAAGTTTGTGACAGCACCTAAGAATCCTAAATTATTTATACGACATGACCAGAGAAATATTTGTCACCAGATGTAGCCGTACTGACATTTTAAAATGTGCAGCAGTTTAGGAAGGTCTCCGTTTCTCACGCTGCACACACGTACAGATGCAGTGAGATCTCCCACATAAAAACATTTTCAGACCTCTCTGTGACTTTTGCCTTCTTCCCTCCAAAATACTTTAGTTTTACCTCCTCAAGCCAAAAATGGTTGAATGGCTTCTTTAGAAAATCACTGTACATTCTGTACATACGGAGACATGAACACACTTCCACCGTAAACAGATGAAGTGTATGCAGGCAGGACACAATGACAGAGCTGTGAGTGTGTGACAGAGCTGCTCTGTCCAAAGCTCCTTTCTCCTCTGCTGCAAACATTAATAACACAGTGTTCACATAAACCCACATACGAAGAGACTGTATCTACTGTCCCGACAGCATCACTGTTTTTTTTTTCCCTTGTCCATTAAGAAATTAAAAACCAATCCATCCGCTGCATTTCATTGCTTGACTTGAGCTTTCGTACAGTCTGAGGAGTAAGATGCATGTTTTATATGTGTGTGCATGACAACAGAAGCAGCAGTTTGTGGATGTGGCCACTGGATCTCTGGGTCAGGGGCTGGGAGCTGCCTGTGGAATGGCCTACACTGGGAAACACTTTGACAAGGCCAGGTAACATACACAGAATCACACTCACATATGATGCATTTTATGTATAAACACACAAATTCTACTCAAAAAAAAAAAAAAAAAAGAAAAGGAAAACAATCTCATGCAGAATCCCTCCGCAGCAGCCCGGCTTGCATCCCGCGCACATTAAAGTGGACTGTATGAAATTATGCATGACATAATGTACGCTGCAGCGAGCTGTGCAGACATGTGACATTTCAGCCTGGAGCTTTGGATCAAACCCTCCCCGACAGGTCCAGTCCGCGCTGACATTTAGGCAGCCGACCTTCGATCTGTTTTACCTTCAGATCAAGATAAATGACGGCATCATCTCTGTAATCTGAGATCAAAACCGTCTCCGAGGCGAGATCAAGTGGTAAAAGACATGAGTGATGCAGATTGATTTGCCCACAAACAAAGGTGGAATTTAAATCTGGAAATAAACTGATTAATGCAGTTTTATGCAACTGAAAGTCATGCATGCTGATGTCTGACTATCACAATCTTTTAACGAGGCTGTAGAGCAGTTTTCGGCGAGCATTCAGCTGATTTCGCTCCACGTGTGTCTCCTTTGTTCTGATGTGATCTAGAAACAGCCACGTGGATTTCGGGGCCACAATAGACAGACAGAGCTGTGTGGCCTGTAATAGGACACAACACATTCCACGCACATTTTCATCGAAACTGGACACGATGCAAAAGCAGCCGAGCTAAAATCTGACTTTCAGGAGCACGATTTGACACATTTCACTGTGGAAAGAATAGAAGGAGACTGTCGAACAGTTTTATTTCATGCACGCGGTGAAGCAGACGGTCAGGGAATGCCGTATTTGCAGTCGGAGTTGGCTGCCCTTGATATCTCTCTCTCTCTCTCTCTGTCTCTCTCTCTCGCTGCATTCTGTGTGCACTCAATTGTTTCTGCTCTAATAATCACACATGCAAAAGTGCAGTTCCTCCCTCATCTCTCAGCCTCACCCATCTCCATCATCTTTTCTCGAAAAAAAAAAGAAAAAGAAAAAGAAAATCCCATGCTGTGCTTCTGTTGCACCGATGTACGTGCACCGATAACGCTGTATGCACCGTGCATGTGGACATATATGCTGTGTGTGCATGATCATGGGCGTGTGCTGTTTCCCCCCCACGGAGCTGAGAGCAGCATGTCGAGCTAATTTACTGCAACACTTGTGCGGCTGCATCACTGGTTTCGTAGCAAAATCGGAAGCAAATAGCAACTACATGAACACTTTCTCTTGAAGTAGAGCAACAAACTACATAAACACACTCCTCTCTGAATTTGTGGTTTATTAAAACATGATACATGGATGAACCCATTTAGTATCAGCTGCTCACTGAGCCGTGCTTGTCTGACTCGTGTGGATGTGAGATTTCTGGATTAAAACACATGCACAGCTCCTCCTCGCGCTCGTTCGCACCCAGACGACAGCATCAGCTTCACCGAGTGCACCGACTGGAAGAGTTTCCTCCGTTGATTTAGCGTCGGCAGAAAATGCAGAGCCACGATGGGAGGAGAGTGCACGTGCCGGCTGAGTGGCTTTGAGAGGTATCGCCTCGCTTCCATCAGTCCCGCCTCACAAACGCTGGCTGAAAGGAAGAACTGGGAGACCTGCTGGACAAAGTGTTTAGGCCCACATGGGTGCAAAACCTTGAGCACAGAGTCCCCGGTTCGATTCCTGGGTGCCTGAATACACACACATTCTGCGGGGTTACTTTATTCATGTATTGGACGCCCTTTAGACTACAGTGTGTTTCTCGGAACATGTAACATATCATCACAATCTGTAGTTTCACCACAGAAAATAAAAAGGTAGAAATCTGTTCTGTTGTAGACTCCAAGATACCCCTTCATGTTTGTGGTTATTATCAGGCTGCAGGTTTAATTTAGGAATCATCAGATGCCTCCACAGTGGTTTTGTTTGATGCAACCAAAACATTAAAAAAAACACCAATGCTGCTTGTAGTTGTTAACCCAAAACCAAATATGTGTCAATTCTTAATTGCATCCTGGAAAACTTTAAAGTGAAGAAATTGAGAAAGCCTTTACAGTCTTCAGTTCCTGTTTAAACCTAACTATCATTTCTCTGTTTCTTGTTATGTGCTTTTATATTGTGTTCACTGAATTTCAAATCACAGTTAACAAAATGCCATTTGATCCAACACTATGTTATTTTACCACTCATTGAGCCGTAACTCAAGTTATTCTCCTCCTGAGTGATGAACACAAGCTGTCAGTTGTTCCACCTTTGCTTCAGTGCGTCTAATATATCATTTTCGATGGTTCAGTGAGAGAAGACGACGACCTGCAGGCTTTAGACATCAGTTTGACTGGTTCCTCTCCTGCTTTTTTTGGTTTTTCTGCCCCTCCGGTCTTTTCCTCTTTTCTCCCCTTCTCTCCATCTCTGTGGAATTCCTCTCTTCTCTTTCTTCTCTTTCGCCGCCATGTGTTTTTTTCTTCTTTGCACTCGGAGTCGGAATGCGTGGTGTAATGCGACGTGTCTCGGCCGATCTTCCAGTTTTAATGAGAATGTGTCTATTTGACTGGAAAGCTGTCAGGAGGCGTTACACCAGCGGAGCGACTGCAGAGGATGATCGGAGCGAGGCGGGGGTGGAGGTGGAGGTGGAGGGAGGGTCTATGTTTGTGAGTGTGTTTAGGTGTGAGGATCAGCTGTCACATCAAGCCCTGCAGGAGGAATCAGAGGATGGGAGGGAAGATGGAACCAATGTGGAAAATTACAGCTTCCTCTATTCATCTCAGCCTCTGTGTAAGTTGTAAGTCTGCTGATGGTGAAATGTTTGTGTGTGTGCAGCTACCGGGTGTTCTGCCTGCTGGGTGACGGGGAGCTGTCGGAGGGCTCGGTGTGGGAGGCCATGGCCTTCGCCTCCTACTACCAGCTCGACAACCTGGTGGCCATCTTGGACATCAACCGGCTGGGCCAGAGCGACCCGGCTCCGCTGCAGCACCACGTGGAGAAGTACCAGCGACGCTGTGAGGCGTTTGGGTGAGCAGGGGGGGAGTCACGGAGGGAGATAGAGCAGGTGCTTCAGTGTGTATCATAGTAGGGGTGAGGCTGATTTATGGCCTCTAGTGCTCAAATGAAAAGACTGAATTATTGACCGCCAACACTTGGGTCTATATATTAGTATAAATATCATTTGCAGTAATACTTCTCTCAATAGTTTGTGCAGCATCAGTTTCTACATCATGTGTATCAGTATTATTAGAATTATATGTTTTACTATTCTATTCTAGTTTCTATTCTAGTCTTATTTTTGCTCACCTATTTTATTTCAGTAATGTATCGTACTTATATCTTATTGCTTTTTCTACTTCTTTAGAAACTGCATTTCTTATGTCATTGTTTTTTTCTGAGCAATATCAGAATTTCCCCTGGGATTAATGAAGTTTTATCTTATCTTAATTGATCCAAAAACAATTAATCAACACCAGACAAAATGGCAACGACTGACTTATTTCTGCTGCTACTGTGTGATGATTGTGATGTGTATCTGTTAATGACATATTAATCATAATCAATATTTAAATTTTTTAAAAACTTATATTGTGTTTTAACTACAACAAACCAATCTTAGAAGGAACCAAGGGAAATAAAAATAATAAAAATTGTATTTAGGAAAATCTAAATATAAAAGTGCAGGGGTTAGGCTGAGGCAAATAAATAAATAAATAAATAAATAAATAAATAAATAAATAAAAATAAAATAAAATAAAATAAAATAAAATAAAATAAAATTCAGGAATCCCAGAAAAGGACCACACTTAAAGTGTGATATATTCTGTTTTTTTCCAGCTGGCATGCCATCATTGTGGACGGCCACAGTGTGGAGGAGTTGTGTAAGGTGTTGAGTCAACCCCGCCACCAGCCGCTCGCCATCATCGCCAAGACCATTAAGGGCAAAGGCATCCCAGGTCAGTAACCAGTCACACAGTGGTCCACAGCGAGTTAGATCAAATATCAGCATCGTGTGTTTTTTTATGTAATATGCAGAATTTCAGTTTGAACTCATGTGTTGTCTTTTGATGATGAAGGTGATGTCGGCTGTTAACCCTCCCAACAGTTTCTGGGAGTTTGTTGCTCCTGTTAAATTTTTACTCACTACGGGCTCATTAGTCACTGCAATATAAAGTCCTGCACCGCTATGGGAACACCACAACCATGACTGGAAGTAGGGAGAACATTAAAATGTCTTTGGTGCTGCATGACACAGTTATGATGCCAAAAATCATATAAAAACAAAAGCTCAAGTTGGATATCTTTACAAAAATTGACATGTACAACAGTGTTTTTCCAAGTGCCCACATTATTACCAGTACTGGAAAAAAGGGACTTTACTATTTCATGTTTTAAATGTGTTTCCATATGCACACACACACACAGAGCAGATAACACAGTCTGTAGTTTAGCTGAAAAGTCCCTAAAGTTTCACACGTTACTGATGGTTGCAGCTGAGTCACTAATGGATCCACAGTTGTGCTGGAATTTTAATAAAAAAAAAAAAAAGAAATCTGGTTGGAGAAAACAGTTTATTTTTGGTGATTTTCAAAATGAGACTAATAAAGTTTTTTTTTTTTTTTTTAAAGAAATATGTACTTTTTTAACTTTAAATTTGGATCTTTTCTTTTGCCGGAATGCTACATCACAGATTAGAAAGATGAAAATCCAACAATTATTTCTATTCTAACAAATAGAAATGTACGTGGCTCTAGTAAAGGGTGTAATTTGGCCATTTTTCTTATTTTACTGCTAAATTACAAAGTGCCTTTCAAACTCGGGGCTTACAGGATTAAACTTTGCTCCAAGGATCACAGTCACCTATATTTCTTTCTTAAAGTCGTGTTCCTACATGATGACGAGGTGAAACGATGAAAACTGTCTGGGAATAATAGTTTTGCCCGAAGTTTTCTTAACTGCTCCGTAGACCCTCCGTCAGTGCGGAGGGGCCCTAACTCGCCTTAATCCAGGCAGCGCTTTAGTGCTTTGGCTGCTGCAGCTCCGTAATCCCTCAGAATGTGTAGGATAAACTGCCGGCAGCGCCGCATTGTGCTGCTGTTGTGATAAGACTGAGTGTGTGTGTTTGTGACCACGTGTGTGTGAAGAACGAGACATAAAGCAAAAGACAGTTGTTGTAACAGCAAAGTCGCAGCAGTATGTCTTTGTTTACAGAGGACTGCGCCGGAGATCGTGACCTCTTGAATCTAACCTTTGACCTTCTGCAGTAGCTTGTTGTGACCCACCGGAGTGGAAGTTTGTTATGAGTGGAACAGCTGGCTGCATGTGAATGAAGGTGGAGGAGAGACGTTTATGACGTATAGAAGGAGAAGCTTTTCTTTGTGTGTAAAGATTATTTATATCACAGTTATTAACATTCACTTTGTATGGATTTCTGAATGAGGAACTTTCAGACGTGAATTCAAAGCCTCTTACTCGTTATACTGCTCATTGTTTTACGACTGTGGCATTACACACATAATACTACATTATATCCAACAAGAACATATCACAGAAACAGGCTATTAGGACAGAACATAAAGTGGGATACAATAAACACACCAATATGTTGTTTTCCTCAACAAATACTTTAAATTCATTTATTTTGTGAAATTCAGGACTATTCAAAGCAAACAATAAGTTCCTCTGTGATAACATGCAACAACTGTTTAGAAGCAACACGAGAAACTTTTCACTTTTACATCATGAAGAGTAGATGTTTATCAGTTTGTGGGGTAAACTTATGGAAAAGTCTGTATTCACAATGACTAAAACTATAAAATGTACAAAAATGGAGATTCGTGGTAGACTTTATGGGAAACAAGTCTCCTGTTTAAACCCTTATATAAACAGTTAATAAACAGTTTAGTTAAAGCAGTAGACAAACATCAATGTTAGGATGCTGACTGCTTATAGAAGACACATTAAGTGATGCGTTATTGCTTTTTAAAGCACAAATAAGCAGCTGTGCTTCATACTGACTCGTGTGAAGATAACAGAAATAAATCCAGTCATTGTGTCTGAGTATGTTTCCAGATTAAATAATCGATCAGTTGTCAACTATTTTTTTCAAAAACATAGTAATGTGGAGTAGCAAAGGCCTTCTTGGGGTTTCTTACATATAAACATGAGATTTAGCAAACAAATAAAACAGTGAGATATGAGATGTACGGACACACAGCGGGAAGATGTTAATAAGCTAAACTTGATCCAACTCATTTTCAGATGTTATTTTAAGAGTTTCTTTTTAATTTTGCGTGATGTGTATTCTTTTGGGCCTTTATGGAATTGGGGCATGTGTGAAATAAAACACTGAATAAAACATGCATGAAAGTTTCCTTCTCTACTATAAAGTCTCTGTACAGTAGAGTTCACTGTAAGTCCCAGTAAATACATGAAGTTGTCTATTTTTCATCAACTACGGATGCTGTATCTTGCAAAACTCAGAACACAAGCATGTTTTAGATCAGTGGTTCTCAAACGTTTTGAGCCACGACCCCCAAGATAGCATAAGTTTGTGTTTGTGAATATGGTATGAGTAATAACTTTGTTGTTCTTGAATTAATGCGTTAAAAATTAATGTGTTAACTCCACAGATGAATCTCTTTACATTAATACATTAATTTTCTTTTAAATGAATGAATGATTTGAATTTATTTTGAACAAATGAAAGGGGGAAAAATAAATAAAAAGAAAAGAAAATAATAAAAAAAGAAGAATATTGCATAATCAAATCATGATATAACAAGTTCGAAAAAGGAGTGAGAAGAAGTACACGCTTTTAATTTTGACATCCTTAATGCAAATTTATTAAATAAATGTAGGCTTTATTTTTATCTTTTCTTTTTTTACAATGATCTGGTGACCCCCTGAAATTATCTTGGGACCTCCATGGGGGTCCCGACCCCCAGTTTGAGAACCACTGTTTTAAAAAGCTCTGTCTTGTCAGTGAAATATATAACTGTGCTTCTTTTAGCATCCTACTGACGCCATACTGTAGACATATAGTCTTCTAGAAGAGTGTGTGGTAACAGGATGTTGTTGTTTTTACTGGACATGTATTTAGAGTTCGTGCTGCTACTTACTGTGTGTTTGTGTGTTTCTTTCAGCGGCTGAGGATAAGATGGGCTGGCACGGTAAACCGCTGCCCAAGGACATGGCGGAGAGCGTGGTCAAGGAGCTGCAGAGTCGCATCATCAGCTGCAACAAGCGCCTCTATCCGGCTCCCCCCAACGAGGACACGTCACCCATCAGCCTCCGCAACATCCGCATGCCGAGTGCACCCAGCTTAAAACCCGGGGACAAGGTGAGACTATTGGTGGTCTTATTAATTGAATGTAACATTGGGCTGAGTGATAAATAAACTGGATGGAGCTTATATTTGATTAAGTTGGTGCCTCTACTATATGTCACCTCATAATCTGTGTATCTACCTGAGGTTAAACACTGATGTTTTGTCCCTGTGCACCCAGATCGCCACCAGGAAGGCGTACGGCATGGCGCTGGCCAAGCTGGGCCGCTACAACGATCGCGTGGTGGCTCTGGATGGAGACACCAAGAACTCCACCTTCGCCGAGCTCTTTAAAAACGAAAACCCCAACCGCTACATAGAGTGCTACATCGCAGAGCAGAACATGGTGAGAAGGAGACGGATGATTTCCACCGCAGATAGAAGGGTTTGGACCAGAGTCTGAACTGGGAAGAAGTGTTTGAAAGTTACAATTAGATAAGATTAAATAATTAGAGTAATTAAAAAAATATTAATTAAGCAGGTTCTTAACTCTCTGAACCTCCAAATCTGGTGTTAGGTTTCAACGGCAGGTTGTCTTTAAAAGAAAAATCAGCAAATTATACTATTTATTTGAACCAGAAACTGTAAAAACTGAAAAAAATCTGAGTTTTCTAGCTTTACAAGTCATCATGAGCTAATCATGTGCAGCATGGGGTTCCATCAGGAAGCTTAAAATCAACATGTTTCATCCAAATCATTCTACATGTCTCATTGACCGTCCATCCATCATCTATACACCACTTAATCCTCACTAGGGTCATGGGGGCTGGAGTCTATCCCAGCTGACTCAGGGTGAAGGCAGGGGACACCCTGGACAGGTCACCAGTCTATCACAGGGCTACACTTAGAGACAGACAACCAAGCACACTCACATTCACACCTACGGACAATTTAGAATCACCAATTAACCTCAACATGTTTTTGGACCTCCGGAGAACCCGGAGAGAACCCACGCTGCATAGGGAGAACATGCAAACTCCACACAGAAAGATCCCGGGTGTCCTCACCGGGATGCAAATCAGCGACCTTTTTGCTGCGAGGCAACAGTGCTACCACCTTGCAGCCCTCACATTAACTGGAAAAAATAAAAAATTTGGCGTTCCTCATCGCAACTGTGAAGTCATCAGTGGCGAAACTTTGATCAACAGTCTTGTGATGAAAATTCTCGGACACTTTGGCTGAACTGCAGGTTGTGTTTAGACAGAGCCGATAGAAAACACATATGGAAAACAATAAAAATGTAAGTAATAAAACATCTACAATATGCAGTGTTACTATTCTTTCCAGTCTTGGTAGCACCTCTGCAAACTCAAAAAATGTTGCACGTGTTTTTTCTAGGTTTTTTTACATTTGGAAAAAATTTGACCTTCATTTTTGTCAAATGTCATACTACGCAGAAGACATTTTTGAGTTCTCTCTACTTCTAGCCATGTTTGTGCTGTTTCCACTGAGGTGCAGGACTTTACATTGCAGTGAAAAATGAACCCACAGTGAGTAAATAAAGAAAAAAAACCTGCTTGGAAACTACTTGACATTCAAGGGGTTAGTTATCACGTGCATACAGACTATTTAGTACAAGAAGATTGATCTGTTTTCAACAACATAGTGGTATTCACAGCTTATGTCAACACGTCTGAGAAGCTCTGTGTTGTTGATGACCACTGAGCACAACGTCTACCCGTGGCACAGTCTCTAACACCCCTCTTCATCGTCCTTTCCTCTCACCTTCCTCTCTGTCTTCTCCCCTGCAGGTGAGCGTGGCGATCGGTTGCGCCGTTCGAGACCGTAACGTGGTGTTCGCCAGCACCTTCGCCACCTTCTTCTCCCGAGCCTACGATCAGCTGCGCATGGCCGCCATCTCCGAGAGCAACATCAACCTGTGTGGCTCCCACTGCGGTGTCTCCATCGGTCAGTCTCTCTGTCCAACATCCACGGCCTTTTTTTTAAGTTTTACAAAATCACCTTGTTGGTTGAAACAAGCTAATGGTAGTTTAATAGAAACGTTAGGTTGGATTTTGCAGGATGAGTCGGTCACAGATGAGGACAGGAAGATAAACTTTATATTACTGATTCTGACTTATTACACATTTTGTTTGTGTAACTGTGGTGTTTTTGAAGATGTGGCCTCCCTTTTACCACCGTTACAGCTTATTATCACTTCAAAATATAATCCATATAAGACAGAATCACATCCTCATCGACTTTTCACCCACAGATAGACGTAGTTTCACCCCTTTTCCGTCACGACACCCACTTTGGCACAATTCTGGTTTTGGATTGATTCAGCCCACTGAAGTTAAATAATGAATGTGTACAATGCACGTTAAGGAGAAAAGTCATGCTGTAGAATTTGTCCTCTGAAGACATATCGTCCCTTTTGTAGTGTCACTGCAGTGGGTTGAATCTCTCCTCCGTGTTTATTGGTTTAAACTCCCCTGAATGCTAAACCTTTCTCCCACCTTCTGAACCTCTGTGCTCTTGTGTTTTCCATCTTCCTCTCCTGGTCTCAGCACTCCTCCTGTCCTCCCTCCTCCTCCTCTCTGTCTCTGTGTCATGGAGGTGATGACAGATCTCTTCCTCCTCCCTCCCTTTCTCCTCCTCTTCCTCCTCCTCCGCCTCCTCAGGTACATTGCATGCGCCCCCTTTCCGGACTGAATGCATGCCAGTCTACCAGAATTTATTTTCTTGCATCCTACAGCAGCTTTGCCTGACTTTGTTTGTTTGGTGCTGACTTCGTGGGCGTGTTTAGGTGAGGACGGACCCTCTCAGATGGGTCTGGAGGACCTGGCCATGTTCAGAGCCATTCCCACGGCAACCGTCTTCTATCCGAGCGACGGTGTCTCCACTGAGAAGGCTGTGGAGCTCGCCGCCAACACAAAGGTACTCGACATCACCTTTAAAAGCAATAAACCCGATCCTTAGGAATATGATAGACTCTTTGTTAGTTTATCTGTAATCAGCTTGATTCATGGAGATCTTTTCTGGTTTGTTTTAGGGTTTGTGTTTCATCCGAACAAGCCGCCCAGAGAACAGCGTCATCTACAATGGCAACGAAGACTTCCACGTCGGACAGGCTAAGGTTTGTTTGTCTTCTCATTATCATAAATGACTTATCAGACTTAATCATGTACAAATAAATACAACTGGGTGTTCCAAAAGGACAAAAACACACATCAAAAGTGGTAAAGAAATGGTTAAATCAGAATGAAGGTTTTAGACTGGTCTCCCTAAAGTCCTGACTTAACCCCATCAAGAACCTGTGATCTGCACCAGTTCTGTTAAAAGGAGGGTCAGCGATACAACCAGGAGCTTATAGACGGCAACTTAAAGGGCCTAGTTGAGGTGAAAATAGCCCAAGGACTTTCAACCTGATATTAGCTTTGCTGCATGTATATATTTGACCCAACAGATTTCCAGAAAACCTATAGTAAATAAATAAATAAATAATAATAATAAAGGGCGGCTGTGGCTCAGGTGGTAGAGCAGGTTGTCCTCCAATCGCAAGGTTGGTGGTTCGATCTCCTGCCCCTCCACAGTCAACGTGTCCTTGGGCAAGACACTGAACCCAAAGTTGCTCCCAGTTGCAGGCAGCACGTTGCATGGCAGCTCTGTCGCCATGAGTGTGTGTGGATGGGTGAATGAGGAACACAATGTAAAGTGCTTTGGATTAAAGCGCTGTATAAGTGCAGATCATTTACCAATAAATCTATGAAAGAACTAAAAATATGTTTCAATCATGTCATCATTAAAAACTGAGAGATGTAGGAGTCACTGGAAGCTACCATGATATACGTGGTCTGTTTTATTCACGATTCTATCTTACCTTCCCGCTCAGGTTGTGTGTAAAACCAACGATGACCACGTGACTGTGATTGGAGCAGGAGTGACCCTCCATGAGGCTCTGGCTGCTGCTGAGCTGCTGAAGAAAGGTAACAACAAAGAGAAAGAAACCGGCTGGTGCCAGCATGAAGCAGCGTAGTGTTCTTTTTTAATCTGATGTTCTTCTTCCCTCCATCAGAGAGAATCAACATCCGTGTGATCGACCCGTTCACCATCAAACCTCTGGACCACAAGACCATCATTGACAACGCCAGGGCCACCAGAGGACGCATCATCACAGTGGAGGACCACTACTATGAAGGTGAGGCGTCTGCACACACAACAAAAATGACAAATTAGCTTCAGAAAACAACAGCAACAGGATTTTTGAACAAAGCAACTAGATTTAGCTGAATGATTTTCTTTTAAAAATGGTTACCCTGATGAAGGAAGGTGCCTGAGAAAACATCTTAAAGCCAAATTACTTCTGAAAAATCTAGTTTGATATTGTTTTGATGCATCTAGGTTGGCTGTTGTCATAAAATATTAGAAATGCATCATTACAAATGGGTAAATTAACTTTTTTAGTCTTAATTCCCATCATTATTGCTGCAAGATACAAATTTTCTGTCACATAGCTGCACTGATTATCTGCCAAGTTAGACGTTACATGAGTGTCATGCGTTGACACATTCAAATAATGTACAGCAATGTTAAGTCCTGTTGCACTGCAGGAATATAAAAACTCTATTTAACTGTTTTCTGATCATTCTTGTTCAGTCAGGATTGTAAAAATTGTTTTACCATCTGCGCCATAAGCTGGAGGAGACATAGGAGCTGTTAAGAGTTATTATGCAGCTGCTTGCGTGTTTGTACTGTTTGTGCATCAACTCATGAATAAAAATGCCACGAGCAGCAAAGGACAAAGGTCCATCTGGGGTTAGAGAAGCTCTGAGGTGGTGGAGGAAGAAGAAGAAGAGGGATGGAGGTAGAAGATGGAAGTATAGGGACACTGTGTGTAGAGAATAATAGGGCTGTGGCTGTGAAGAGACATGTAAGACAAGGAAAAGGTAAAATAGATTTTTAAAAAATCTATATATGGAGGGGGGAGGGAAGAGGAGGAGCCTGTCAGGGTTTCTTAATTTCAGCTCCGGCCTTTGGGCTCTTGCTGACCTACATACAGTAGCATCATGGCGAAAACAAGCATCCAGCTTTGCTTTCTGTCTCCTCCTCCTCCTTCCTGCTGTGTGTGTTTTTGTTGTCTTAATGTAGCGGCTTTTTACATCCTTTCAGATGACATTGGTCTGTCTGTAATAGAGCCGAACTGTTTTCACTTTGCTTCAGACCCCCAATGTTCACATGAAGCTCCCACATTCAGATTAACCTGAGTTACATGGAAATAGGAAAGTGAAGCCTAAAGGGATCAATGTGAAGCTCCTAACCCTCAGAACCCCGAGCAGTTCCTGACCAGTTTTTTGCTCCTATCACATTTTTACTCCCTGTGGGCTCGTAGTATAAAATCCTGCACCTCTATGGAAACAGAACCACCGTGACTAGAAGGAGAGAAAACTCAGAAGTGGCCTTTTTGCACTATGACAGAATTATAATACCATGAATCATTAAAAAAAAAAAAAAAGTTACAATTATTTTATTATTTTTACAACAACTGAAAAAACCTGAAATCAGCATGTAAAACATTTTTCTAAGTGCCCAACAGGTTTTACCAAAACTGGAAGAAGAAATGGCCGCTCTACATGTGATAGATATTTTCCAGCTGACGTTTTTATTTGTTTCCGTAGTTGTCTTCTATCTGCTTTGTGTGTCCTGTTGCTGTTTATTACAGTTGAGCTAATAATGGCTCACTAGCTGTGTAGAGGAGTTTTTTGCTTCTTCTTCTTTTTTTTAATTAATTAATTAATTTTTTTTTACAGAATATGATTGGAGCGAAAGTTCTATTTTTGGTGAATTCTTAAGTGAGACATGTTGAATTAAGTAATTTTCATGAAATATTTCGATTGTAAGCTTTTATTTGGATAATTTTCCAAATGGAACCACGCGCCACAGATGAGTAGTTCGAAGACCATTGGAAAGTAGATGATTCTTTCTTTTCTTACAGTTTCTGTTTCTGATAAGTGTTGTAATTTTTGACATTTTATGGAGACAGCATGCCTTTCAAACCTGCTAGTGGGTTTCAGTATAAAGAGGATGATCAGCTACAGCACTTTTGGAATCTGACTCTGCTCAAAGAGGGACTTAAAAAAATTCTGAACATTTCCTTTAAGGGGGTTGAAAGTGTGAGAGAAGAGGAGTGAGAAAGTGGAGGGAGGGTGGCGTCAGACCTGTCGCTCCACATCAGATCTCTGCAGAGCTCGATCGCCCATGAAGGTGTAAAGAGATTGAATATGACAGAAGAGGGCAAAATCAAAAGAAGGAAACATGCAAAGAGTAGATTTTTAAAAAAAAAACTCAGTGTTAGGACAAATTTAAGAAACAATACTGTGTGATTTGGATGACCTAACCTTTAAACCTACGCTGTGACTCCTCAGGTGGTCTCGGGGAGGCGGTGTGCTCGGCGGTGGTGAATGAAACCGGCTTCACCGTCCACCGCCTGGCGGTTTCCCAGGTGCCCCGCAGCGGTAAGCCCCACGAGCTGCTCCGAATCTTCGGCATCGACCGCGACGCCATCGCTCAGGCAGTCCGGAAGATGCTCAGCAGCTCAGCCAACGCCAAGTAACTCGGCGTGGACGGGTGCGACGGCAGCTGGACCGGCGGTGGTGGTAAAAATGACTCTGTGGTGAACTGCTGGTCGCCGCAGAGACAACAAACAAAGAAATAAAGCAACACTGATGGATGGGCAGCACTTGTGGCCCACTCACGCTCTCCTCCTCATAAAACAATCTAAAAGGTAACATGGTTTTTCTCTTAACTGTCATCAGTGTGGTCTGACACCCCCAGATTTTTACCCCTTTTTAGAGTTTGTGAGTTCAGTAAACGCACCACCTTCCCCCTTCACTCTCACAGATGTCCACACCTGCCCCCCCTCCTGTACCTTCCTACCTCTCTGAGAAAGTTCTGATACTGCTGTTAGTGTTTCAGTAAAAGCAGTGAACGTGGTTTGGAGTCAAGTCTTTTTTTTTTTTTTTTTAAATCATTTCTGTGGAACCCCTCTCACTTGTCGGGCTCAGCGTTTTGAACGTCTGCACCCCAGTACAGTATGACTTTGTAAATCCCACCCCCCCACTAGAGCCAGCAGGGTGTGGAGAAACTCTGGTTTGGTCTGTTTGAGCACTGACTGTTTTTAACCCTTTTTGCCTCTGATTTGGATGGGACTGCTTCACACCAATAAAGGGATGGTTTCTTCACAATGACTGTGTCCGACGTCTTTCTTGTGGGTTGTGGAGACATGAAGCATGAATTCTAAAACGCTGTAGTGGTGTAAGTGTGCAAACTGATATCAGAGTTGGAACGTCAGATTATGTATGTTAGTGTCACATCACTATTACTGACCAATTAGTCCGGCTGCAGCTAAGTTATTTTCCGGATTAATCAATTAGTTTTTTGGTTGAAAATATTTCTAAAAAAAATGTCAGTTCGTGTCTCCTAACATCTTAGAGGCATCCTCAGATGTCTTGCTTGGTCCTCAGTCCAACAACGTTACAGTTTGTAATCGTAAGGGAGTAAAGAAGCCAGAAAATATTCACATTTAACAAGTTGGAATCAGAGAATGTAGACTTTTTTTTTTCTTTAATTAACCAGACAATTAAAAACTATAGCCAGTATTAAAGGTTTATGTTGTTGTAAATATGCGCTATACAAATAGAATTGAATTGAATTAAAGTTGTCAAACCAGATAACGATTAATTTATTATTTGACAACTAATCGATAAAATTTGAAGCCTTCCATATTCGCATGCGAGTATTCCCAGTAATTTTAAATGTGAAGCATGTGTTGGAACTACAAATATTTATTCCTTTATGTTAAAAAGAATGGATGGAATTTAATTAAACATCACATGCTGCATTTATCATTTTGCTCAGTTTAGATTTTAAAAAAAAAAAGGTTCCACACTCCAAATGCACAACATTATCAGTTAGCCTTGAATATATTTGAATTAGCCACAAATACCCTTATAATTTATATTTATACCAGTGGCAGAAAGTAACTGAGTACTTTTACTAAAGTACTGTACTTCAGTATACTTTCACTCCACTACATGTCAGAGGGAAGTATTGCAGTTTCTACTCAGCTTCATTTATCTGACAGCTTAAGATGAAGGTTTTATACAAAAATAACAACAAGCTTCTAAAATACAACACATTAAGATTCAATCAACCTTTTTGGCTTTTTACAAAACATTTCAGAAGTCTGGGTTGTTTCACCAAATAGTGATGTTTCCCTCTAAACATGGTTTCATTTCAATAAATATTCATATGATCCAGTAACTCACCAGAAATCCAAGATTGGAGAAAAAAAACACAAGTTTGTGCATCTGAACTTATTTTTCTCTCTTTTCTTGTCTGCTTACTGATGTCATGTATAAAAA